GAGAGATCATAACTAGCAAAATATATAGGTTTTCTTTAAAATCTAAAGCCAACACACACAGCTTGAAATTGAAAGTGGTTATTGTTATAGCAGGTAGAGGTGAGGCTAGTGAAGAAGAGGAGTACAGCTTCATTATTTCAGGAAATTTCTGCTTAGCGCATAAACTGCAGGATATGATGAACTCCCTTGAACTGATTATTCTGCCATAGTACCATCTGACTACGTAAAAATACCAATATCACTTTAACACAAAATCACTGCTTAAGGTAAATTCATTCTACCTACTGTTCTCATAGGGACATTTGCTGGAAAATTCTAAGCAATGATTTGCAGAAGCAATCAGCTGTGGGACTTCACTATTATACCTCTGTCAACTTCATTCAATATAATTTACATTTTTCTAAAATACTGCCTCCCAGGATTCCTCACTATTTTTTTGCACGTACAATTTCACAGCAGAAAAAAAAAAAAAAAAGATAACCCTCTTTTAGAAAGAAGAAAGAACAGATGCTTAAAAATAGATTTCTAGAAATCACTGTAAGCCGGAGCCAGAAATGTAATTAACACCTATTTATAAAGAATAATTAAAGTTGTGACTGCCACAAAGAACAGCAAAGATAATCGAGGTAGCCCCTGCCTTTTCTTTTTCTTTTTTTTTTTTTAAAAAAACACTGTTTGCAGTATTCCCACATGATTGCCACCTGCTCCCCCACTCAGCTTCCCCTATGCTCGTTTCCCCGGCAACCTTTCATTGGCTTTTCCTCCCAGCTATCGCTTTCAGTTCGGCTGCTCAGTCTAATCTTATTTGTTTTACACCCATCAAAACAAGCAGCTAGACAAAAGACAATCCTATAAGAATGTGAAAAGACCGTAGCTTTGTATCCCAGTTATAATAAATATCCAAAGTGAAAGTCTGCGGAATGTTTAATTGAAACAAAACTAGCAAGAGTGATTTGAATTTTGAAGGTTTTTCTCCCACTGAATAGCAGTGCTCTGTAAAATTCAAAGTCTGTAATAGTTGTATTTGATCATGCCATTTTGCACAATCTGTAAGGAAAACATAAAGGAGGAATGAGTCGACTATTTCTGATTCCTGCCAAAAGAATACTCTAAAAATAGAAATACTATTTTTACATAAATGGATTGCTTTGACTTCCTTCAATATTTAAAAAAAAAAAAAAAACCCTCCAAAACACCATTCTGTTTCACGATAGTATTAGCTCGTAACAAACAAAATACCTAATTTTTACATGCAGTTATTAGATCTGGATTTAATTTAACACTCATGTAACACAAATGACGATGAAAAGGCATGAGCTGCTGCCTGAGCTGATGGTCATACAGTACAATGACACCGTGACTGTCAGCCGAGACCATCCTTGCTTGACTGAAATGTAATGTTCAATGGAATCAGCGTGCAGTGCCATCACACTCCGATACATTAAAGATAGATAGATAGATCCTAAAAAATAAACAACGACCTGTAATTTTATTTATGACTCACAATCTGCTATCCTGAACAAAAGAAATTCATGAGGCACATATAAGCAGTATGAAACCTATAAACAGTCTCTCAGCATTCACTTACCATTTTCAAGCCATTCCACTCCATCTGTGATCACAAAGATGGACCCTTGCAGCCCCTCACAGTGTCAAAAGCAAAAAGAACGTTATGTAAAAGCTGACATTCCTTCTTACAGTACTGCTGCCCAACGATGCAACAAAATCGACATATACTAGGCGCTGCAACACATACAAGCCTCCTCCTCTTTTTATGAGGTCATGACAGGAAACTCTTTGAAATACAATATGCAGCATTTACTGAAGCTCATATAAATCACTCTCAAAAATTACCATACCTGCTGCGCAGTCCACCAAAACAAAATTACCAGTCTTGAGGCTTTTTTCCCAAGGATTCTGCTCTGCATTTGTATTTCCAACATGTGAATGTGGAAATTAATTACCTCCCCACCCAGAACAACCCCCTCTTTTTCAGCATTTCAGTTAGCCCCACACAGCCTCACGTTAGAAATCAGCTCTTTCTTTATTCTGAGAGAAATCACAATGACCTTAAAAATGACAAAGTACATCCTTTATTAAAGGATATGCAGGCATTAAATAGGAGAGAGAGAGAAAGAAAAGGGGAGAGAGAGACGGAGATACATAATGTAGAAACAAACCAGTCATAGCAACTAAACTCATGTGAAAACAGACTGATAAAGATGCAGATTTGGGGAAATCTATGTTATAGATCTATCTATTTATATATAACTACTATAAACAGATTTTAAATCTACTAATACCTACCATAACCATTCTTAATGGCAAATATTGGGTCTTGAAAAGCTTCAACTCTTCTAAAGATTTGCTATGGTTTCAGGGATTTAATTTTTTTGTTTGTTTAAAAAAAAAAAAAAATCCACAAAGCACAGTGCAGACGTTTTGTGCAGCAAAAGAATAATAATAAAAAAAAGCACAGTGTGTTGAAGCCCCCGATTCTAGGATGTAGATAAGAACAACTGAACAGAGCCTTACTGAAATTGGCTTGCAGCTTCTCCTTTTTACATCCATTTATGGGACCATCTGTCAGCTGAAGCCAGGATCGGATTGGCTAGGGAAACTAAAGGAGGCGTTGCAACATCAGGTGCTATTGAAATTAGCTACTGCCAGATTGACAATGTTAATGATTTGGTGACCTCTACAACAACAGAGACCAGATTTCTGAACTGCTGCTTGTGTCTAGTAATTAAGGCCCAGTTGAAAAAACAACACATATACGTGTATTTTATCTCTCCCTACCCCAGAAGTACAGTAACAGTTACAGGCCATATCTACAGTTTATATACCTCCATCATGGAGGTGCCATACCTCAGCCATGCTTCAATGACTGCAACCTCTTACCTCTTGCATGCGTGGCTTTGAGGTCTGGAGTATTTTAACCACCTTATCTTTCTCGACAGTTGCTTTCCGGAAAAATGCATATTTAATGATCTGCCTCTAGGCTTAAAGATATGACAAAAGCACTTTAATGTGCATTTTAACTGCATTTATTCTCAGGTACTATTGATTTTAATAATCAAGCAATTTTTTTTCCTTTTGCAGTAAGAGACATTCAAATGTATATATAGTTTTAAAGGCAGGTTTGATATTACTTGCACTTGATTATATGTCTAAAATATAATATCTACTTACCAGCACATTTTACCAGAATAAAAGTAGTATTTTATAATTATCCAGGTATCTCACTTCATTACTTGCTTGCTTTACAAGGAAGTGCTAAATAAACCTGGGCATTGAAATGAAATTATTTTTCAACTGTAATAAGCAACATGCTTTAACTTTGTAAGAAACACACTCACTTATCCTTTGCTTGCTTCCACAGACAAAGCACCAAACCACCAATTATAAACAGCAATATTTCACAAACTTTCCACTACGGCAACTTTTTTTGAAAATTCTCTTAATTAGGAAACATTTATATTCCCCCCTTCTTCAAAAGGGAAATATTTTAGGGGTTTGTTGATTTTATACATGGTAGCCAAGATAACAAGGCATGGCATCCTGTTTTTACATCTAACCTGAGATTAACGTTTATCTAATCTAAAACTACCAATTTTTAACCTATGTAATATTGATATTTAAATCAGTTAGTTTTATCTTTGATGTGTACAGTAAAAAGAAAATATTTTTTAAAAATGTCCAATATAATTATTAATATTTCTATTTTGGAACAGATAGAAAGGTAAAAGCTGCGGAGAACGCTAGTATGGGCCATGATATATGCTCGTTTAGCTCTTCACTGCAGAAAATAAGAAATGGTTTTATGAAACACCACAAACCTTCCCCACGCCAATATATAATTAACATTTTGGGAAAAGTTTTTTTAAAGTACAAATATTAACTCAGAACTGTTAATCTCGTAAAGGGTACTCAGTACGTTTTAAAATTTCTTTAAAACATCCACATGCACAAAAAAACCCAGTCACAGCCTAAACAAATAGTATAATGTAGGAAATATATTAATTTTTTAAATAATGTAGATACAAATGGATCATAGAAGCAGAAAACACACATTAGAAAAAACATTTAAAATAAATGAACGCTTCCAACCACGGAGTGAACACCGAATTCAATTAACATCTATTATGGATAGTTTAAATGGCTGCAGAGGATTTCTCTTCTCACACAATAGTTTTAAAAACATTTGTAGCTTAGCAAAAACTAGCAAAGATTACACTGGGTTGTAGGATAGGTTTCCTAAATCAATCTATGCAACTCAAACTAAAATACTACAGTGAATTCACTAGCATCAAAATACTGTATAACTAGTACATCATCATATGTTCTGGTCCCAAAATACACTGAATATGAAAGTTTCATTTGTAATGAAGATTTTTACGTAAGGTCTCTTCAGGGGTTAACAAAATTGAACAAGGGATGGAGAAATCTTTTTTTCAGCCTTTTCAACCTCAGCACACTTTGTTAGCTATAAATTAATGTTATGCATATCAAAAGATTCAGCCATTTTTCTGAAACAACAATCTCACATTGCAGTCCTAAACAATCAGCTGTTTTGCAAAACTAAAATTTCATGTACTTTGTACACTGATCACTTTTCAAAAAACCAAAAACAAAAAACCAAAACAAACCCACACACCAAATCTTTCAGAGGAATACTAAAACAAACGCACAAATGTCCTCAGAGGCCTCTCTCTAAAGACAAAGGCAGAATCCTATTGTTGAAAAAGTCAACCTTATTATCGTGTTTCCAATAGTACCATTCATCTTTCAGGGTAAGTGGCTGACCACTGCATCAGAGTTGTGACACATTTGTAAAGCATCAAATTCTCAATATAGTCTCTCAGAATCAGCCAGTAAACCTCTGAGAAAAGCCTTATTTTTATGCAAGCCTCCATCCCCACAAAAAGAAACTTGTCTTAAACACCTAATCCAATATCAAAATGAAATCACAGGGCTGTTTGTCCCCCCCCCCTCCTTACCATAAATGAGCAGTTTCTTGACTCATTAATGACAGTTTCCCTTAAAAGAAGTGATCTCATATCACTGAGCCTCTCTACACCATGCATACATCCCAAAGGTTGCGGGTATCTTAGCATCAGTAGCCGCCAGCAAGCTCTCTCATACAGAGCCCAGATGGACTATACCAGAAGCCAATTCAGCGTTAATAACTACCTACTCTGTGCAGTTTAGAAGCCTTACGTGGCATAATGTCCTAGGCAACAGCAGCCGACTGAAACCGCAAATAAAGACAACCCAATTGTCCAAAAGCATCGAAAGGAAAAAAAAAATAAGTGAAGAATGATTTTTTTACCTCTTACTTTCATAAGAATAAACGGAATCCTTCATAAACATATTCAAAAAGGTGGAAAAAAAACAGATGCTGCCCAGAAAAGTGACAAAATATTACCTCATTATTTAACAAAGCAGCATTAAGCGTCCTGCTGATTTCAAACATCTTGCCACAGATTTTGGTTTCAGAGAAACAGAAAGAATCCTTTGCAAGCCCTCTGTCTGCAAAGGGTTCTTCAATTTTCTTGCGCACAACAGTATAGTCAATATGTTATTTCCCTAGAGTTCGCACATTAAAACATCTAGTCAGTGAGCTGAATTTTCCCCTTATCTCACACACAGTACACTCCTGTTATATGCACTGCTCTCTTTGCAAGATTAGCCTGCCCCAAACATGGCTGTTGTTTAAACTATTCTGTGAAGTAACAGTTCACTCTACAACCACCAGGTGGGCAGTGTGCACAGATTCAAATAACCATCTTAAAGATTTTTGTTGGAACAGTCTTTAGCTGTGGTATAGAACCCAAAAAGTGCCCATATTTTGCATTCTTTTGTCAATCATCTGCTCCCCATAAGACAAAGAACAAGTCAATGAACTTTCATTAGCAAATCATTTAAAAAAAAATCTTAAAAAGGAACCTAAACACAATTACACACAAACCTTTCATTTGGCAAAAATGAACTTAATGAAAAAACCCAATCAGCAGACAGGATGAAATGTACTTTACAGGGGAACACCACCAGTGGAAATGGTCTCTTGACAGAAGACAGCAAAAACGTTGAGCATAGGATGACAAACTGGTTCAAGTAAACATGAACACAACATTCATTTATAGTAAACTTGGGGCATGAGGGAAGTTGGAGAATAGACAGACTACAACTTCCCCAGGTAAAATACCAGATTACTTAACATAATATTGTGATGGTAAACAAAACTAAACCAAAAGTCAGAAAGCGCATGATAAACTATCAGAGCACAAGTCCAGACAAAAATACTAGACTGATCATTGTTTTCAACAGCAATTTAAGAAGACTTAAATATGCTTACTAAATTTTCCTCATCGCTATATTTCTATAAACGTAAGAATTTTCTTTTGTTTTACTTTAGATATGTTACAACAAGGAATGTTTCTACTATCATACAAAGTTATGAATTCACTCAATACTCTACAGCAGTGCCCAAAGACCTCAATCAGATGTGGGGCCCACTGTGTTAGATACTGTATAAACACGTAATAGAATCATTGGACTGCAAGGGAATTCAAAAGAGGTCTTCTAGTCCAGTCCCCTGTATTGAAGGGAGAACTAAGTATATCCAGACCATCCCTGACAGGCGTTCGTCTAACCTGCTCTTAAAAATCTCCAATGATGGAGATTCCACAACGCCCCTAGGTAATTTATTCCAGTGCTTTAACAACACTGACATTTAGGAAGTTTTTCCTAAATGTCCAACCTAAACCGCCCTTGCTGCTACTAAAGCCCATTGCTTCTCCTAGCCTGAGAGGTTAACAAGAACAATTTACCTTCCGTCCCCTTGTAACAAAATGTTATGTACTTGAAAACTGTTATGTCCCGTCTCCCCCCGTCTTCTCTTCTCCAGACTAAACAAATCCAATTTTTCGATCTTCCCTCATAGGTCATGTTTTCTAGACCTTCAATCATTTTTGTTGATCTTCTCTGGACTTTCTACAAATTGTCTACATCTTCCCCAAAATGTGGCACCTAGAAATGGACACAATACTCCAGTTCAGGCCTAATTGGTGCTTAGTACAGTGGAAGAATTACTTCGTGTGTCTTGCTTACAATACTCCTGATAATACATCCCAGAATGAGGTTCGCTTTTTTGAAACAGTGTCACACTGTTGACTCATATTTAGCTTGTGATCCACTATGACCCCCAGATCCCTTTCCGCAGTACTCCTTCCTACGCAGTCATTTCCCATTTTGAATGCGTACAACTGACTGTTCCTTCCTAAGTGGAGTACTTCACAGTTGTCCTGACTGAATGTCATCCTATTTACTTCAGACCATTTCTCTAGTTTGACCAGATCATTTTGAATTTTAATCCTATCCTCCAAAGCACTTGCAACCCCTCCCAGCTTTGTATTGTCCGCAAACTTTAAGTGTACTTTGTATGCCATTATCTAAATCATTGATGAAGATATTGAAGAGAACTGGGCCTAGAACTGATCCCTGAGGGATCCCACTCGATATGCCCTTCCAGCTTGACCGTGAACCACTAATAACTACTCTCTGGGAATGGTTTTCCAACCAGTTATGAACCTACCTTATCGTAGCAAAGACAGCCCCTGTCCTGAAGAGCTTACAATTCACATTTTAAAGTTTAAAGCACAAATCGGTGGTGTGGGGGAAGAATGAAAAACAAAAAGAAATCACACAAGAGTGTTATTTATTATGGGCCAGAACTGAATCCCACTGAAATCCCATTGCAACTGGCTTCAGTGGGAGCAGGACCTAATAAGGTTATTTACTGAAAGTAAAGGTCATGTTATTTTCCAAACGTTCTATTTTATTAAAATGTGACAAACCATATGAACATGTGATTTTGACTTGTCAAATACATAGTATTACCTACACTACTATATTCTTTCATACACGGATGTGTCTATGAATACTTTGCACTGGGTTAAGCTATATATATACATATATATATATATATACACATACACACACACACACGCGATATTCTGTTTTGTCTGTTAAATAATATTAAGTGATGCAGTTATGATTTAACCTTCTTGAATATATTAATTTTCCACCCCACTTTCTATATGGGGAAGAAAGGTTATTTCCATCCATTTCTGGATGTATGAAATGAGCTTATTTTCTCACTCACCGTATGTCTTGAATATTAATTAAAATGTCACTTCTTTTCTAACACTGAAACGTAATCATTTAGTAAATAAAATATTCTTGGCTTGCTGATCTTGGAGATAATAAATATATTTAAGGGTTTCAGGACTGTTATTTTTTACTTGCAGATAACTTCAGTATTTTGATTACCAGCCATTCCTCTGATTTAAACAGAAATATTTTATAAATGTATTTAAAAAAAAAAGAAAAGAAAAAACAAACAAAAAAAGGGACCTGAAGCACATTTTTAAGGACCTTTCCTCCTACTACCCTGAGGCAATTTCAACCAATCAATAAGAAACCATTGACATGCCACCATCTGCCAAGCTGCAGAGAAATGTGGCTAGAACAGACCTCTTATAGAGCAGCAGTAGTCTCATTTTCACTCTATTAGGAAAGCACCAGAGCTTTCATGTGCAAGGACACAAAAGTCCAACTCAGACTCTTTTCACACCAGTTTCTGAGTACATTGCTGCAGAACTCTAGCATTTATGCTGGGTGAGTTTTGAAGCTAATCATCAAAGCAAGAGGGAGGGGGGGAAAACAGTAACAGTCTATTCTAGTGCAGTGTAAAAATAAAGAATTCAGTGAATTCTATCCTAATATGATTATAGCAAGCCACTTAAATACTGCTATCTGTGAACTACAACCTGGCATTTTCAATGGACTCTTCCTTTTCCACTCTTCTACAGAGGACTAGGTAGGCAAGCTTAGAAGTATATGAATTGTTTTCTAGGATATTTCTATTATAACCATATAAAATCAAAGATTTATTTGGGATCTAAGGATATTAATTTGTTTCTTGGGGTGGAGTAGAGAGAGAAGGTTGAACCACAGTGTGATTCAACACCAAACAATGGACTTGGAAAAGGAGATACACAAAGCAAGCACTAAGATTTGCCCTATGCTGTCATTGGAGAATCTGTGTGGAAATGCAGTATCTATGGGAAAGATCTCACGTCTCAGCACTTCTTCCCCACCAGCCCCACTCCAAGAATTTAACTTGAAGAAAAGTGTTCAAGGGCCTGATCCTGGAAAGATTCTGAGCATTCGCAACTCTGAAGATTGTGAGGTACTCAGCAGTGCTCAGTGTCAGGCCCAAGATGAGCCAGAGACAACTCAAATGGATACATGCACTGACCCATGAAGGACACATCATCATAGATGACAAAATTTTAACAAAATCTGCACTACAGGATCAGAACAGGTACCCCATTCTCTTCCAAATATAAAAATACAAAATAAATATATTCAAAGGGGATGGAAACTTCTTATATATACATGCCTGCCTATTTTAAAAGTCATCTGCAAAGGTTTAAGAAAGCTTGAAAAAAACTGAGCAGGCAAACGACAAACGGTGAAAGCCATCACATTGAGTATAAAACCAAGAGCCTAAATGTCAATGGTATCTAACCCAAAATTTGATTCCAAAAAAAGTCAGTCTACATTAAGAACACAACACTGGAGAGCTTGTGGGGAAGGGGGAAATGTCTAAAAAAATCCATGTCTAAAAAGGACACTTACATATTTAACAGAACCATGAATAGCTAGAAGTTTAGCGCAACATCCAAAAGCTTTCAAAAAATTGTGAATTTGGAGGGAGAAATGAATAGTCAGGCAACAATTATAAAAATAACAAATAGGCTGAGTAAAAATCAAGCAACACATACAACAGTGAGATTTTTAAAAATTATGGTTAATTAAACCATTAATGTACAGTATAGAACTATAATAAGATAGTGTAATTTAACTACTGAATGATTTAAATAAATAACTGATTGCCCTCTGGAAACTAAGTAGAGACCTAGGTGATCATAGACAATGCACTAGACTAGGCAATGCTAAAATGGTTTTCAGGTAAACTGTTTTATAAGGTTAGGGAATTCACATGTATTTAAGGTAAAGTGAGGAATTCACACGTATTTAAGGAGGC